AGATAATATGGGACCTAAGAATCCCATGAGATCTTTTAGATACTCTTTTGCTCTACACAAGGAATGATTCTTCACTTGAAATTTAAAATAAACATATTATCCCATTACATTCTCACATTTATGGTATTGAAATACTCTATTAAATAGCCTAATCCTATGACTCCTGTAAATTAATGGAATCGCTAGAACAGCACAACATAAATCAAATTCCCTTGAAAAAAACAATATTTACTTAGCCAATAATGATTTTCAATGTAACATGCAAATGCACCATCCCAGATGTTACAGTAAAAGTCCTTTTTAAGGACTTAGACCAGATGCCCTAATACATAGTAAACAGCAATGAAGCATCTGACTGTTGCACACTTGTATGAACACACTAAAAGTTTATAACTCAGGAAGGCTGCTTATAACAATTTGAAGGGCTGAGGGCTAGAAATCTCAACAAATAAAACAAATTCACGCTTAAAAAAAATATATATCAGAAGGTTCTGGCTCACACGTTTAAACAAAGAACTATAATGAGTAATCTCTCATAATTTCAAACCAACTCTGATCCCAAAGGAAAAAGATTGACTCATTCAAAGTCACATGGCTCTGAGATTGTTTACTGCTTCTCAAAAAACTTAACTGGATAAAAAGTTGGTTAAAAGTTATTATCATTGTTGATGTTAACTTAGAAGCAATCAGACCAAGTTCAGAAGAAAATAGGATATTAAGTAAACAAATAAAAGCAAGTGAGCAAGCTCTCACGTGCATTCAGCTGTCCCAGGTGCCTAGAAAATACCCCTTCCTTAAATACACACAAGACAGGACATTTACATTAGATGGCAAAATGATTTGACAATATCTTACCTAAGTTCTTTAGAACTGTGATTAAAGGTAATAAATTCACATAAAATTTTTCATCAATCCTGAAATATAGAAATTCTCCAATCAGGAAGAATTTTGGTTGTTTTTTGTTTTTTTTTTTCCCCCTCAAGATAGATGATGTCATTATTCTATTACTCTGGCATTTTACAGCTACTTGTATCAGTGCAATGGGAATATAAAAGGACTGTTATTCTGATTAGACTCTTTTACACTCCACTATTTGGGACATAAGAGTATAAAGCTTTTTTCTTTTTCCATTATCAGGCAGTTGAACAGAAAACATTACTGACTGACCTTTATATAAATGAGGCTAAATAAAGACACAGATGGCTTCTACTAAGTGAAGGAAGTGAAAGTAATGATGTGCTATCTTAAGCCACTGTCCTGCAAAATCAGGAACCAGGATAAACAAAAATCTGATTATTCTAGCTGAACATGAAAGCTCAAGTAAACATATCCTCTGTCTGAATCCCTGCCTACACTAAAAAATTGACTCACTTTAAAGAACGGTTGTCAAGAGTAAGTCCCTTTGAAGTAATATTTGATTTTTTCTACACAAAACAAAAAAATTAGGGTAAAAGATTGAGTCCAAGGACCCAGAGATGTGAAATGAAATTTCAGGTGTAGGCCTCTCAACGGCCTAAAGAACGACAAAACAAGAACAAGAAAGAATTATCATATGACTTGTCTTGTAGGTCTTTCCCTAGCCATATCTGCATTCAAAATGAACCAGAGCAACCTGAAAATGTTGTAGTCTGATATGGTATTTCTTTTATACATGAGATTCGCAAAAAAACAAAATGTTTGTACACATTTATGAAGGTTTCATAAGTTCAGATAGTTCCATTTAGAAATTATTACAGTTAACCAGCATGTAAAAATAAAAAACAAAGTTCAAATAGTACATAAAGAGTAAATATGTTTTGTTTTGCTTATAAAGTCTCATGTATACAAAATGGTTACAAATTTACTTTACATCCAAATTGCTTCTGGTTATTACTGGTATTCAGATGTAACAATATAAAAGAAAAAGACAACCTCTTCCCTTACCCTGGATTTTTGACATTTAAAATAGTCATTCCTTATACCACACATACAGCTTCACTCAGCCACATTTTGCTTAACTCTATAATTTATAAAATCACAAAAATGAAAGCCTAGATTATCCTTTTAATAAGGAACATTTTTGCAAAATGTTCTGTAGTTTTACCACTTACTGGGTATGTTTGTGTTGGTTTTGTGTGTAGTTCTAAATTTGTCATTAAAGTTGTTTCTTCTGCTAGATTTCACCTTTCAGAGTGCTGAAAAGTGCTCTAAAAAAAAAAAAATCTATTGAAATGGAACAGAATTTACGGAAAGAGAATTAATTATGCTTCTTTCAAGATTCGTGAAACCCCAGCCCGTTGAGAGCCTTCTGAAACTCCCTTGGACTTTTGTATCGATGGATGGAGTTCCAACAATTTCAATACCAAGAAGTCACAGAAATAATTAAACAGAAAAGTTCTGGTAATTGCAAAATATTAGTCTATTCCTTAGGATGATTATGTGTAATTTTTTTTTTTAAGACTTAGTCCAAACTAGTTTTACAATGCCCCAGGTGAAAGGGCTCTTTCTATTTGCACAGACTAATAGGTCTTCATTGCAATATGTTTCCTGATAACCTAATTGATCTTTTTTTTTTTTTTTTCAATTTCATCCAGTTAGCTGTTTTTTACACCCTGGAGACATAAAAAATAATTTATTTCCCTGCTTCTCCAGGTACCATTCAAATAATAACAAATGTCTGCAACTTCAATTTAGTCAAATTTACTTACCTATTTTTTTTAAATCTTGCCACACATACAGACATGCAACCCCACATTTCTTGTCTTTATCAACAAACCAGAGTCTCCATCAAGGTATTACAAAAGTGGGAGCTGAGGAGTATTTCAAGGGTGGGTGGGGACCACACAGGTAGGGAACATCAAAGATTGCTGGTACTAAAGAAACCGTTTTGTTGTGCTTGTCACTGGGGTGGGAAGCTTCCTATGCAGGCTGCAGTTAGACAGTGTGTGCTACTTGTGCTCAGTGAGCTGGATGCAGCAAACTGCATCTCTCCTGAGCGTTCAGCTGCTCTAGAAACCAATAGTTTCCAAATAAGTCTGCTTTGAATCATTTTCTTTATATTCTTTAAAGAGAGGTTAGCTGAAAATGTTCTTCTGATCTCTCCTTTTTTCATAATTTAATTTCTTAAATTGTCACTACCCAAGATGGATTGGGTGATAATTTCTGTAGGCAATTCCTCTCTATGCTATTCTTCTATATGCTGTCGAAAGCCACCGCTCTTTTTGATGACTTGTCAGTGACCCCTCCCACTGCACACATTTGGACAACAGATCCCAAAATGTCACGCCTTATCCATGTCTACATAATGAAGGATTGGTCAAGTAATCATACAGAATGAGAACTGCTTCCTGCTACTGGTGATCAAGCAGGTAACAGTGCTGTTTTTCACTTGTCATATTAATCATATTCTCATTTTGGCCAATATTCCTAGAAACCCTCTATCATTAAAAAAAAAAAGAAAAAAAAAAAAGTTAAAAAAAAGACATAGCTATTCCATCTGAAAACTGGAATAATTTATGCTGCTACAGCAATCTACCAGCATTGATCTCCGGATAGAAATGCACCTTACATCAGTAGAAAAGGAACGAGGATAAAACATGGTCCATTAAATTGTTTCTCAGTTGAGAGTTTTTTAGACAGAATAAGCTGCAGAAAGTGCTATAAACATCTTTTCAACCATAATACATAAATGTTTGAAACAAGGACATGAAATCTAATGCAAAGAAGTTTTTTTGACAGAGGTGGGGAGGAAAATGGCAAAAGCTCACAGAGCCATGGTAAATGAGAGATACAAATTTAACTAACTTTTCAGAGGCAAGTATGTGTGGATATATTAAAATTTTATCCACTGTCTTTGCACATATCTGCTATCAGGATTTTTCCAACAGAAATTTTGTGTTCTGTTGCTGTTTGAACCTTCTAAATATGTTTACCCTCTGGAAGACAGGATCTTCGACTCAAGAAAACTGAACTATGCTGGGTAAGTTTATAACTATTTTCCTTGCATTTGGGAAAATAAAAAACTACATAGAGGAACATTCAAGTAGTCCTGCTATCTTCTTTGATGCTACTAGAATAATTAAGCAAGCAGAATTTGGGGCCTGTTAATTTTAGCAGATATTCTAAAAAATGTTCCACCTAATACAACAATTTAGCTGAAACAATAGTGACATAATTATTAAAATTACATAATAATTACAGTGCTTTAGAGCAAGCTACATTAAGGTATGACTCATCACTCAATACATAAGAAGGTACAGAACTATGTGAAATCCAGCAGTGCAGTGCAATATAGCGTAGCTGAAGCAAAAAATAAAATTTAAAATCAGCAATTTTTTGTCAATAAGTGGGGAGAGGAGGAGAATTAATGGAAAGTATGACTATGTTTTTTTTTTTTTTTTACTTTAATTAATTCAATTTAAAAAGTGACAAGGAATAATTGTACTATCACAACTAGGATTTACATTTTTTTTAGAAAAATATTTAAAACATTTTACTATTTTAACTTCACACTTCCTCTGGCAACACTTGTAATAGTTTGCTTTATTGAAAATGGAGAAATATTCCACTCCTCAGCTGGGGAAATGATTGGTGAAGTAGAAAAACAATGATGGAATTTTCTGAGATAATTACACCTTTTTATTAGAGTACTTTATCAATGATCATTTTGAAAGAAAAGCTGCACAGTGTAACAATCAAGCATAAAACACATAAGTTCCCATGAAACATTTTTAATGATTTTTCCATAATAGAATTTGATTGAAAATAACTCTTTTAAAAACGGAAGAGACTGGATATATGCATCTTGGACAAAACTGTATTGAAAATTTGTTGCTTGAATAATCCTTACTTTCTATGCAAAAGATATACATACCTTCTATCATTTTCCTAGCCATTAATACTTTCCTTGATAACCAACATATTCCCAGTTAAAGACATTATTCAACAGCACAACTATACATCATTAGCAAAGTTACTATGCTAAGTATTTTCTATCAAAAAGTGTCATGGTTGGTACTCACCAGGTGTAAAATTATACCGAGCAGAAAATCCAATAGATTCCAGCTCACCATCAGCAAAAAATTTAATCCATAGGAATCTGCCACTGGATTTTATCATAGGTGGATTTTGCTGTCCACAGAAACGTCCAATGATTGGGGAAAAGCCAAAAGGTCCATCTCGTACTTCAATATGGTCAAATTTACACTCCCAAGAAGGCTCAATGGAATATTTTTCATCAAAGTGCAGTTCAATGCATTGTCTAGGGGCAGCTAGAGATGAAAAGAAAATTGTCTTATTATTTTCTAAACCAAGATCCTTCAAACCTAAAATAAAAGAAAAACAAATGTTCTGTAGGTTTTGCTTAAAAACTTTTTTGAAATTTAGTAAATTTATATTTTTATAGATTTTACACCATCAGCTTAGTTGTCTATTCTTTTTTCTTTAAAAAATGCTCATGACAGCAGTTCTTAGCAAAACTAAGAGATATCTATGATGGAAAGCAAAATACAGTTTAGGAACAATTGATTCAAATACAAAATCTTTCAATGAAACTTATGTACCTTGAAAATTAGGATTTTCTTATATTTGGTGGGGAAAATGTTAATCAGAATACTTTTTTACCTAATGCTCACAAAGATGAGGAAAAAACTGATCAGAACTGTGCCATAGTAAGGATAAATTCTGTTCTTGTATATATTGCAGTCAATGACAAGCCTGAGTGTAATTGCTTATACTCAGAATTACTTATCACCTCATTTGAAACATAAGGACAAGTGTAGTGAATTCTCACTTAAGAAACTAGAGAAAGATGAAGCCAAACTGATGTCTAACTAAAAAGACAAAAATATTCTACCGAAAACCTTACATGAACTTTATAGTGGTCACTTCATTAGACATAAAAAACATCTTTATTCGTAGATACTAAGGCAGTCAGAATGATGTCTAAACCAAATATTCCCTGGCATCTCCTGTGTAGAGCAAAATAGTCACTGGTTGAAATATAGTATTTTCTTAAAATGGGCAGAAAAAAATCATGGGTTTGTCTACAAATTTTAACAGATGCAGCATCCCTGGTGTGCTCTGTTCCTATATTTAATCCTGTCCATAGCAAAAAATGTATGCCTTCAGTGTCTAGATCATGGTGCAATATAGCCTTTTGCTGACAAAGCCTTCTGCTAAGACAAGAGTTTCTTGTGTCGCTGCCTGCTGGGCCTCTCATGGGATCATGTTCTGCACTTTACACATATTAGAAGAGGTTGAAATTTCTATGAGCTTTGCCCGAGTTACCATTCTTTTCACATGAAAACATGCAAGATCAAACTCCAAGCCAAGTGCATAAGCTTAACATGGAAACTTTTGCCACTCCAGCAATCATTGCCCTTCCATTTCTTTCCTCAGGAATAATAGGAAAACTAACAGTGGGACCAGGACCCACATCTTGTATGTATTTTGAAATGTTTTACACTGAAGATTTGGGGATGAGCTCATTACTCACACGAGAAAGGAGACTACTTAAATGGAACTAAATAAGAAGATATTAGGTAAATCTTACAATCTACAAAAGAACACACAGTCAGAGCCCATCTACAACTATTTCATGTAAATAAACACAGCCTCATTTCATAAAAAGCATTAAAGAAGTTAATAAAATACATTAAGAAGAAAGATTATTTTAATAGCTTTACTTTCAATTTTAATGTAATTGGGTGACAGATATTCATTGAAATATTTAGTTTAACATAAGAAAGAAACGTTATTTACTGTTCTCAGTTTGAAGAAATTCACATTTAGGAAAGTGCTTACCATTGGCTTGTTGTTATTTATACTAACTTACAGGAAATTTGTGACCTTAGTGCCCATACAAATTCAATAGCAAAATCGGAACCTAGAACTTCACATATATTTGCACCAAATACACAGTCCATGGAAATTAAATGACTTTGAAAGTATGAAAAAAACTTACAAAATTAAAATCAGATAATAAAGTTTGTAAAGAAGATCTCATTAATGCTGCCCTTGTTGAGGCCTGAAGACCAAAGTAGATCTTTGAGATTATAGTAAAAGACTAAATAACTGGAAGACATTGTCGATTAATTTTATTCAGGTGATTTTACACTTGACTTCACATATTTATAAAAAATACTGATTTAAACTTTAAGCAGTACTAGGGCAGAAGAGAGCAATCAGGACCTTTCAACCTGGGATCACATTTTGTATGCTTTTATTTTATTTAAGGAGATTTGTTGAGAACTATTCATCATTCACCTTGGGACTACAAAGTCTGGTATCAGAAACTCCATCCTGACAATGCTTTAGGTAATCTTAAGAATGCTCATTAAGGCTTGAAAATCTTGTATACTCACTGTTCAAATATTGTGTTATTAACATACCTAAGTCTTTATTGTAATGTTTTAATGTTACAAACTAGATATGAAGGTGAATTCTGCTAGTATTTTTAGTATCAGACAGCATCATACCACAGTGTATGGCTGTTCTGCTTTCCATCGCAACAGACACATCTGCTTCAAAAATGGCTTATGCCATTGATGTAACGCATTTCACCTTTATAAACTTCCTATGTTAGGCCTTCACTACTCTATTTCATACCAAGAGGAGGGTTACAAGTGCTGGCCCATAGTTAAACCCTTAACAGGTCTTTTCTGAATCCAAAACTCATGTAGCGTATGAAAAAATGGGCACGAGGTCCCCTCTGAGTTATAGCTTAGTCATTTGATATGATTTTTGGTGTTGGAAAGGATCCCTAAAGCCAATTATAGCCTCAGTATAATATAAAAAGAGCTTCTGTGAGTAAATGAGAATCAGGCCTACCAAGTTACACATGAGATCTATTAAATTGGTGAAAGAACAGCCTGAGAAAAAACTGCACAATTTCCACAACCTCCATGTAACTCTCTGAATCTCACATTGCAAACTAGTTTAATGATCAGAATATTGATACAGTTTACTCTTCTCTGCTTTTATTTATATTTCAACAAAGTCAAGATGATGCTTGTTCTAGTTAGAACAAGTCTCAATTCTTGCTAGAGGATCAGAGTGAATCACATCAGCTCAAGGAGTGCTCAAGAAAGAGTTTCTACTCTAGCCCAAAACTCCCATGTGTAGAGGCTGCTCCACTTTCTGAATGGAGTATTGACTATTAATTAGTACCCTTTCCACATCGCTAAATAAAACAAGGCTGGACTGAATCTGGAAGCTGGACCACCCCTTGAATGTTACAATCACCTCCTGGCACCATTCTGACCATGACAGTCAGAACTGCCAGAACCCATTCTTAGGCGTGATGTGGTGGTTCACATCAGTCAATACCATTCACAGCAAGCAGCTTGTATCTATACTCTTTGCTGGAAAGGTGAAAGGAGTTAATCTGCACGTGTGTGATTGTGCCTATCATCAGCCTTAAGGACAGTGAACATTTCCCGACCTGGTTTAGGTATTACTTATAGCAGCACTGGCTGTGTTTCAGCCTGCTCTGCAAGCTAGTCCAAACAGGACAAGGCCCTTTCTCCTAACTCTCTCAAGGAATGCAACACTTTCTGTTTCTGTAACTGAGGACTGTGATGATCACAAAAGATTGGGCAAAGGGAGAAAGAGCTATATACACATCCATGCAATTTTTTATCATGTGCTTTTAAATGCACCTCCATGCTTCATCTTGTATATTTAAATATTTTGTTTGCAGTAACCTACCGAAGAAACAAAATTATAAAATTTTCCAAGAAATTACCGTAAGGGATGAAAACACACAATTCCAACTCCCAACTTTAGCTTCCTTTTAGTGAAAAAGGTATCATTTCGAACTTGTACTCTGGCTTTAGCAAAGAGTCTCTTTGCCAAAAGCAAGCTAAAACAAGCACCTATTATATAAATACACATCTTGTGGCACAGCTTTTGCAACAAAACATAAAGCCCAGAATTATGCAATTCTTCCACACTGGATTTGAATCTGGCCATCTAATCAGAAAAGGAATGGTGGTCACTTCTGGTATCTTTATTCACAGGTAAAGTCTATTTACATCTTTTTCTGTGGCTACAATATCAGAAAAAGTTGTTGTCAAGTCCAAATGAAATATACTGAAGCTGTCTTATAAAAATTATTTTACTTCAAATATTAAAAATCTTCTCTATTTAGCTTCCAATTATCTTTCTTCAAAAATGTTTAATACCATGGAAAGGCTACTTAATGCTTGCATGTCTTGTCATATTTTTCATCTAATTATCTTATACAAGTGCAGTCTTGAGATTTTACATTCAATAGAAAAAAAGTGGCATTGGGTTCCAACTTATGGTAGAACAGTTGCAGCAAAAATACACAATTAAGGTTTTAATTCTGATCAGCCTCTAAGTCTGTGTAACTGACAGCTGAAGTTAAGCAAAAAATCTGTTCCAATTTACTAGACTGCATGGAAATACGACATTGAACACTAACCCCCATCTATCTGAGCTGCTACAGTACTAATAGTTTTCAATAATCCTTGCTCTTTCTGGTTGTCCAGCTATTGTTCATAAGAAAGCCACCTATGTCATCCTTTCAAAAGAGGATTCCTTCCTTATTTTGATAAAAACTTTTTGAACACAAAAATCTCTGTGAAATACAAAAGGACTTTGAGCACAGTGATACATGACCATTTTCTAACACCTGTTAAATATTTAGAATTAAGGAGTTTAATGGTCTTTAGTGAAAATATAAAAGAACTTCAAGAGAGTTAACGCTAAATGTCCACAAAGGCATAAAGCGGCATATTTATTTCATATCTCTGTAAAGCAATTCTAGTCCATACCTAGATTTATAAAAAATAATTTAATTATTAAAAACTGAAGAATGGATAAAATCTTGCAAGTATTTAATTTACAGGTTTTCCAAATCAATTCTGAAGATCTACTGTGTAAAGTAGGACTATCCCACTCCCCAAATATTTTAATGCAAACAAAAGCCTTTGCTCCTACAAAATTTCCTGTGCAAATTTCCCTTTGGAGCACACATGCCAAATTTTCTGCAGTCTGGCAAAGGCTAATGCTGCCAATGATGCAGTTGTTCCAGGCAGCTGTGAATTTTGCCATGTTAGAGACATGAATATGTGAAACAAGGGTGAAATTGGGCCCAACAGCGAATTTAATGTGTACACTCAGCTATTTCCTATGTTTTCTATATGCCAAATAAGACAGAAATAAAAAAAAAAAAAAAAAAAAAAACACCAAACAGATTCTCAATGCATTTTGAAAGGCAGATGGGATTCACCAGGAGCTCCTCTAATCAATTTTGTACTGAGTCCATGACTCCTGGATGACCTAAAGGATTTCTTTTAGAAGGGCATCCAATCTGGACTTTAAAATTCCTAGCTGTTCCAGTAGTTAATTATCATTACTACAAAAAAGAAAAAAAATAAATAAAAGAAAAAGAAACTTCTAGCTGTTTGATCTGCTTATGCCTTTGACTGCTAGGATAGAAGCCTCTGCAGTCAGAAATCCTCTTCTCTTTTAGAAACTCACGGTCTATGATCATGGCAATTTTTGAGAGTCCCTTTACTACACCAAAGTAATTTTGAAATGATAAAAGGCTTGCATACATTTAAGATGAGCTCCAGTGTGGGGGGAAAAATGTATCATGAGATGAAATTCAATTTTATTACAACACACTACATGCTGGAGTCCTCACTCAAGTCCACTAAATTTAGTAGGAACTGTGTTTCAGGAGAGCCATCAGAATTTGCCTGAGATTGTGGTTGATAGCAAAAAAAGAAGGAATGAAAACAAGCAGGCAAGAAGGCACCTGGTGATTCATATATATATTTAAACTCACATCATGCAGCTGTCAGTATGGCATATACAGTCCTGGTTTGCTGAACTCTCTAAGACATACAAAGGAGAGATAGTGTGGGAATGCTATTACGGATCATATCAACAGTCGCCCTAGTTTGGTAGTTGGTATTCAACAGCAGCCAGAAGCTATTTGAAGAGTATTGGAATCTAAATAATAAATATAGGAATAAGATGCATATGGAGATGTTTCTGTCTTATTCTAAAATTGAATGGATATTTATGTCCTGGATTAGCAAGGATTATCTGCTGCATAGATTGTTATCTGACCTCAAAGATATTGCTATGAGTAAAATAATGAATCTTTTTTTGCAGTCCTTTAACTTCAATATTTTATGCCAATAAGTTCCACAAAATATAAAAGATATGGGGAAAACTTTTCACTTGCTAGCCTGTTTTATAATTTTTTGCTATGTTTTAAAAAGAATAAATATGGACAAATAATCAACTGTAATTACAACATAATTTTTGTTGTCCTTCAGTGTTTCTCCTTTTGCCTTTTTTGGAAATTTCTACTTTAAAAAATACTGCTGCTCAACATCTTACTACATCTCTATTTATTTTTACGACATTTTTCAGACATGACTATTCCAGATCTTTTTAGAAGACAGAAGTAGACACAGGGGTATCAGAGATGAAAATGTTGTGCAATATGTATGGCTCTCATCAAATTATATACTGATAGAGCTGCTATCATCATGGGTTTAAAAATATCCAGTTGCAATCCAAACTGTTGATTATGGCTGGACAGGGAGTAGAAAATATCAATGTTGTAAGAAATTATGTGCAACTGGGTTTTGTCAGATTGTTTTTTCTCATAAAATATAACAAGATGTCAATTGAGTTAGTATTACTACTTTTTAACATACATTGCTCCAAACTTGTCAACATGGAATTTAATCTTCATCATAGAAGTTGGTTGATTAAATCTTTCCTTCCTAAGTTGTTTTTAGGCATTTCCAGTTTGAGTTATTCTAAATCAGATTGTTTCAACAGCGTATTTACCCACCTTTCATCTTATTAACTATATTTCTGTAAGTACTTAATTACTATAATAAGGACAAATGTGTTTACTATAAAGGGCTTTCAGGAACATTCTAACTAAAGAGGAAGAACACCCTATGGCCTAAGTTACTGGACTAGGGTTTATAAAATTGGTCACATTTTAATTTTCTTCCACAATCTTTCTCTTTAATGATGAAACACATTTCTGTGTCTCAGATCCTTGAAGATGAAATATGTTTACTTCTTCCCAGTCTCACAAGAATGTTAGAAAGATAATTTGATCAATATATGCAAAAAGACCTGGATCTAGCAACATAAATGTAACAAAAAGTATAACACTAACTAGTAAACATTGAACCTTTACATTTATCTTTTTTTTTAATTTTATTTTTATTTTAAATCAATTACTAAGGTACAAAATAACTTAAATGTTTACCATATATCTGCTTAAATTTTGGACTCAAGTGGAAAAACCGGACAGGCATAAATTTTCTTTAAAGCGTTTGTTTGACTCCATGATTTATAATCACCTCTTTACTTCTGACTTCAGTCAGGTTACCTAGCACTAACATGGAATTCAGAGATCTCAGTCATCTTGCTGTCATTTGTCTTTCTAAACAATACATACAAATTTACTATGCATTATTTCCTTGGAAGGTTTTTTTATGAAGTATATTTCTTTTAGTAACTTGGCACTAGATTTGGAAAGACAGACTGGTTTCTAAAAGGGCCTAGTGGGGGGTTCTAAAACAGCTAATTCAGTTTGAATCAGCTATACACCATTGGAAATCTCTCTTGGTACTACTTGCATCTTTAGCAAAATAAGTATTTCTATAATTCCAGGCTACAATATTAGCAGTTAATTTCGTCCAACCAGGCATGGATAGAACAAGTGTCAGTGTTGTATTCTGCATGTGTTCACAACTCATGAATGAATCTGCTTGGTTCCAATAACTTACCATTCTGTATCTGATTCATCTTTTCTGCTACTAAACTCTGACAGTATCTAATGTCTATTACTTTCCACAGATTCATTTTTACAACAATCCCTTCAACATCCATTGTGCTAAGGCTGATGAAAAGAAACTGCGTAACTTGACTGTAATATACCTCTAGACTTTTTTACATCACCTCCATGTCTGCAGCTCCCTACTCTTTAAAAACTGTGTCCTACAGCTGTTTGGTATTAATGTTTATTCTTTTCTGGCTTTGTTTTGTGTTTTTTTTTTTTTTTTTTTTATTTTCACTTCTCATGAACAATTGGATGGAAAATAATTTTTACATTCACTATATGGATATTTTCTGTTTGACTTTCTTTACTGTAGTTTGCCCAGCTATACTTGTCATCCCTGATTCAGTTACGAGAAGTTTAAAATATGTTTATAAAAGTCAAAAGCATTTTCATTTCCTGTATTCACTTTTTTTACTAATTTTTAAATATTCTTTGTCATGTTACAGCATTCTAGGTTTTATTCATTCTCTGAATATCCTGAAATAAATTATACTGTGTTTATTACTGACTCATGCATACTTACCACCTGAACTAATTTATGACTTATGTCAGGAAATAAATATTTTCCAGTATTTCTTGGTATGCTGTACAAAATATTTACATTTTTTACCAAAAAAAAAAGAAAAAAAAAAGAGAAAGTACAGAAATAGGGCTGCTCTGAATCTTATGTCTTGAAAAGATTTATCATGATCATATAGGCTTACCTACTTCTCACATGTAAGAAAATAAAACTTTATATATATATATATATATATATATATATATATATAGTTGATGATAGAATATAAAGATTCTCCGGCTGGTCACCTTCTATAATGTAGACGCACTCTCTGTCAGGAGGATACTTGTTGGGGTAATTGGGAGAAGTGAAGATGCCTCCTTCTGCATATTTTGTCCAAGTTCCACACTGTACTGGTTTCTGTCCTTCGGAAGTAATTTGCCTTTCTGTGAAACAGTCATATTAAGCATTATATAGTTAGCTCACATGACACTTAAAACTCTCCTGCAGAATAAAACAGTCCCTTCTGTCAGTGGCCTCAGCTTTTTTCTATTAAGACTGAGAGTATGATCATTGACCTGAAGGAAAACAAGGCTGTTCTTCAGTGGTACAAACATCTAATTCTTACTCAAAACATTTTTTCAAAGCAGAGAAGAAGCTTGGATGTCTAGGGGAACACATTTATATTGCTTTTAAAACAATAACTTTGTAGGGAAAGCACATGCTCAAGAAATGAGACATGAATTTCCCACTTGTGTATCTCAAAAGGCTCAAGCATGTGCTCTGTCAGCAAGCTATGTGCCATAACACAGGAATACCTCAGTCACAAAATCAAGAAAAAACCCCGCAGAATTATGACAGAATATACAAATTGTTTTAAATTTGCAGCAGCTTTATCCTATATTCACCAGACAGAAATAGGCAGGGGAATTCCTGGGTTCTTTTTCATTATTTTTATCTTGCTGTTTTCTGTAAAATTAACAAATAGCTCTGAGGCCAGGAATCACAGCCCAGAACTTTCCTCCTCCTAGGTGAATCATCAGAGAGCAGAGTCAGACCTTTTTGTTTGCTTTCTTCCTAGCCCTGAAACTCTTGCACTCCTTTCTGCACATTGGCAGAGAGCCTGGAGACAAAGGTTTGAGTCTGTTCAGGCTGAAGAAGATGAAGGATCGCTTCCTGGGCACTATGCTTTAACAGGTAGGCTAAAATAAGATGGATTCTTTGGAGGGAAAAATACCTTGGCTGGTATTAAAAGGAAGGATAGTAGATTGTAGATTTCACAGAGGTGTCTGAAGAGGACTCCTGTGTTTTGCTCTGAATGAGGTTATCTATATCCAAGGAGTGTCCCATCTAACTTAAGGCTCTGATGGGTAGAGCCGAGTTTGTTTGAGTTTCCCTCTTATGATCAATGGAGGGAGACAGGCACCTTCCAAGGATGATTTTGACCACTCAAGATCTGCCTTATGCTCTGCAAGCGTTTCTCTTTCTGCCTGGTCTGTATCCAAGCTGAATATGACATGGGTCCTAATATTCTTGAAATTAATCCAGGTCTGCAGGGACTGAGCATTCAGACACACACTGTGCTGAGCAACTCTCCCTGCTTGGCTCTCACCACATTTAGCATCCTGGGCTTTTAAGAACCTCTTTCTAGCTCCACTCTGCACAAATGCACCCATGATACCCAGTTTCAGATTTTGAATTCTACTTCAATAAGCAAAAATATCTTAAGTGTATATAGCTCAGTGCCCAAACTGGACTTCCCAGTTTGAAAGTGGGGACACTTTGCAGTTTTTAGTTAGAGCCAGGCTGAGTCTTTAGTTAGATCTAGCTGTGGATGAGGTCACTAACTTGCTAAAAAAAGTACCACTGGATTTTTGTGTGTGTACAGGCACACTAATACTCAAAACAAATGAACAAAAGACAGACACTGGAAGTAGGTGAACCACTAAAAATTTCAAGAACTAAGCTAACAACTCAAATCCATACTTTGGACTCTAATATAATGTCAGAAAAAAAAGTCTGAACTTTACATACCTGTTCCTTTTTTGGTTCCCCCAGACAAATGTAGAATGATTAGACTTGCTACAACTGAGAGAGAAATACGCATTAAATATCACAGTGTGATAGTGCCTGCAATCAAATAAATTATAAGCATTCACCTTAGAATACACAATAAATAGAATTACTGTAAAAAAAATGTTTCACGTTTACTTGCATCTTTAAATTGCACATTTTGTACAGACAAGTGTCTTTGTGATCTGTCCTTGTAAGTATTTATGTTTGTACATGTATCCAAATAAAGAGATCTCTTGGGTTTAAAACAAAATCCCCAGGCACTGGTGTTTCCCTCCTGTTTTTTTTTCTTTTTTTAATATTAGAGAAAAACATTTTACCAATATTTATTTATAAATTTACTGGTTTAGGCCAGTAAAAGAAAAGTGGCTGTTTTTAACAGGAGACAATGGCCTGCTAGGTTTCAGTGGCACTGAACTTGCTAATATGTCTTGATATGGCATAATAAAATTTGAAAATGAGTACTGGGAATATGAAAGAAATGAGGGGTTGGGTTCTTCACATCCATCAAAGCATTTGCAAATCCCCAGTGAAGTAAATTATTGTGTATGCTTAACAGTCTCATTAATCTAGTTTGTTTGACTTGTCAAGAGGGTGTTGCTTTGTGCTGCAGTGAATTTGCAGCCCACTTTACAAATAGGAATCTTCTATCTCCAACCATGATAGGACAGCTATGCCACCTGGGAACAAATGTGCCCTTTCTGAGATGGACTTCAACCTGGAGATATTTCCCGAGTTTCTGGGAGTTTCCAAATATAACATTTTGACTAGAACATGCCAAGGCAAACACTTAGGCCAGTCATAATGACACTAATTTGGAAGACCAAAGTGACTAGCTAGCTACCTGATAAAGAAATCATGCACTAATGGTAGCGTTTTCTTGTCATCACCCATATCTTCTTCGGCTGTTGGAGAAAGTGTGATAGCAAGAGCAGAAGAGAATGGATCCATCAGTTCTTGGAGTGCTTGTGGTTTTGACCCCAGCTAGTTTGCTGTTAAGCCTGGACATAATGCCCAGACTGCACTGAAGTTAAAGTGGAGATGAAGTTGTGTGTTTATTCTGAGTATTTTAGATTGATCGGCTGCCCTTTGCATTGTGATGAGGAATTGATGGACCTGTGGTCTTTAACAAATGTAACTGAACAGCATACTTTCCTCTTCTTATCCCCAAGAGACACCAAAAGTCATCATGGGCTAGTAACTAGATACCTAAACGATCCTTTCAAAGACAGTGCTTTCAACATTTTCAGCTTTTACATTGCAAATTGTGTGCAATTTTTACCCCAAAGGAAGCCAGTCTCACTATTTCCAGTATTCTGGTGGCACTGAGATCTCTATTTCTATGCCTTTGACCTTTCCTGTGTGACAGAGGGTTTGAGGCATGGATGATGGCTACCTTATTAAGCAAGGAAAGGCTGAAGTTGTGGGAAAATGAAGGCTTGGCAGCATATTCACTCTTTCTTGGTCAGGCTCACAGCCCCTGTGTCTTTTTGAATCCCTCAGCTAACAGAGACGGATGTTGACAGAGCTAGTAGTTAAAAACTCTTCTGTGTCACGGGCATTCAGTGAGAACATTACATCTGCTCGGATCTGAATGCTGCCCAACCATTCATGCCCTTACTCTCCTCGGGGATGGATTCTGGAAATAAATGCTAGCTGGGACTCTGCCTGCCAGCTGTGTCAGAATCTGAAGGCAATGCAGGATTTGCCCATTTACTAAGTTGCTCATTTACTTTAGTTGTGCTTCATGCAGTGAACATACTGCATCTACGCCTGTAATCCTCACCAGTCAAAACCTAATTTCTCATCTTGTAAGGTAGATTGGTGTTAGAATTTGGACCAGCTGCCAGCATTCTTTCTGCCCACAAATTTACGGAAGCTAGAATCAAGTCCTCAACAGCCTAACAAGCTCCATGTGAGAAATGTTTCTTCTTAGGCAATTAATAACAACTCATATCTGATTCTTACAGGTTCATTTTAAGCACTTTTGTCGATTACCTCTCCCCTCCTTTTCTATATGGAAAATACTGAAGTTCAGAGAAGAGAGTTGGCCCAAGTTACAGAGATATTATTACCAAGATGACAGAAAAAACACAGGTCTCTTCAATTCCAGTTGCAACCGCTAGAAAGGATGCCTCCAAGTCGCAGAGCTATGTTATTCCAAAGCATAGAGCTATACTTACATATCAACATGTCAGTATTTATTATTAATAAGGAGTCAAAATAATCTTGATAATAAAATGTAATAGATAAGGAGAGACTAAGAGACTATATTTTTTTCTGGACATACATCTAACATTTCCATAGGTAAAGTGAAATGCTTCTTCCATATTTCAAAAAAAGAGAAAGACTCTTGATTTAGTGACATTTATACCAGCATCACCAAAATCTGTATCTTGCCAGAAAGTAATTAAAATGATGGATATTATGGGAAAAGATAACACAATATTTTTTACCTAAGCAGTCAAGGGAGTCCATTTTATTGCATAGTGTATGACTTCTTGCCTTTTTCTTTCTCAAGCCACAGGAAAAGAACAGTGCTTCTCACAGAGGGGGGAAAAAAAAAAAAAGACCCCAAAGAGACCAATCATGCAAGCTTCGCTCATTGAAAACTGTCACTTGGGAAGCTTTGACTGTAGAGCAACAATATTGTGATTATCTGGCTTTGGGAATTATTTTAAAGAAGTTTCCGCCAAATTTCTTGTTGTATTCTCTCTGTCTTCCTCCTCCCCCTTTCCCTCCTAATCACGGGTGTAATTATAATCATGCTTTCTAGTGCCACTCTGATTACACATCTTTGCATCTTTTTGGATATGTGCATTTTTCCATTACAAGCTGTATGTAAAGAGATTCCATCTCTTGGCCAGGCAGCTTTTTGGAGGCTGTGATTTGGCACGGGCACGGCTTCGCCCTAGCGAGGAACTGTTGGGCGAGCAGTACCTGGCCACAGCGCTGCTGGTTTTACAGGTCTGGGCGTGGAGAGAGGTGCTGGAAGGAGCTGTGGCCGGCCAAGCCCCTTCAGCAGAGCAGACCCTCTGCACAACCGAGGCGGGCGAGGGGGGGGTCCCACCCGCGCCGCCCGAGGTCCCCGGGGGTCTTCAGCGAGTAGCTTACACCTCGGTGCCCCCCTGCCGCTCCCGGAGGATTTCGCCCGAGGGGGCCGCTCGCGCCCCGCAGCCCCGCGGGACCCGCGCCCGCCCCCGCGCTGCCCCGCGCCCCCGCCGGTTCGAGCCGCGGGGCCGTTCCCCGGTCTCTTCCCGCCTCCCCCCCCCCCCCCCCCCCCCCCCCCCCCCCCCCCCACCCCCGTCACGCCGAAAGCCAGCAGACGCGCCGCGCCCAGGTGAAAACCGCCGGCCCGCCGGAACCACGGCACGGACAGGCACCCGCTGCCCTCCGCTGCAGAGTGCCGGGGAAGGGGGGTGAAGTGTGTGCGGGGGGGGAGTTTACCACCCCCACACACACACACACACACACCTCCCCCCCACGCCGCGGAGGTCTGGGCGTCCCGTTGCGTTAGTTGTGGAGGTAGCGGAGGGCAGGAGCCCGTACGCGGCGGCGGAGCTCAGCCGAGGGGAGAAGGGGGGCGGCAGGGGGAGATACTCACTGTGAAAGAAGCTGCGCCCATGGGTCATGTCTGTTCCTTACACAAGGGGCTTCGGTCTCCACTAATTCCATTTAGATACGGGAGGACTTCCAGTGGCGGGGAGAGGATGGAAGTAGGAAAAGAAGGAAAAAAAAAAAAAAAAAAAAAAAAATATTCCCAAGCCCACACACAGCAGAGCGGAGCAGCCCTTCCTCTCGCTCGCTCTCCCTCACCGCCTTCAAATAATCACCGCTGGCTCAATCCCATCACACCCGAGCGATCACCAGCACCACCACAAGCGTTGCATCGCGGCGGCGGGCAAGGCGGCGGCGGCCCGCGCATCCAGGTGCCGGCGGGGCGAGCCGAGCCCCTAGTCACCAGTTTCATACAAAACCAAAAGCAGATCGAAGCATTTCCTGCAGGACTCCGAGCCCAGCGACTTCCAGCCCTTCGGCTTCTTTTGATGCATTGAAGAAGGGATTAATGGGTCCGTCATCAGCTCCTTGTGCTTGCTCCTCTGAAGGGGTGGGGGCGGGCGGGAGGGAACCCGAAGAGGAGGGGTGGGGGGAAGAAAGATTTACCAAATAGGGGATTTAGTCATATTTGTGTGCAACGCGGTCCTTATTAGAGAGGAAATCCTTTAAAATCGAACAAATCCATTTTTGCAAAGCCCTCTCCCTGCGCGTAGTGTAGTATCAAGTGGTAGCAGCGGCAAGAGGCTGAAAACACATTGCACGGTCTGAAATCCTCTCAGGAATGGATGGAGCGAGATAGAGATGGATGAGGGTAGAGAGATGCCCCCTCACTTCACCCGTCCAGGGCGAGAAGCAGAAGAAAACCCTGAAGACTCTTCCATTCATTCAGTGCAAGGGAAGGGGAAGGGGAGGGGAGGGGCGGGAGGGTGGCGATGGTGGGGAAAGGATGATTTCAAAACTGGGAAAGGAAGAGTAAGTGGAGAGGGAGCGTTTCCCCTCCCCTAATCAGTTCATGGATCAGACAAAATGCTCATGAGTTCCTCCTTGAACGGCACCTGCCAAAAGAAAATTGAAAATATTTTCCACCTGGAGAGGCGACTTCTCCATTTACACACCCCCACGCACGCACGCACAAAAGGGAGCAATGAAAGTTTAGCCGCTAATCCTCCGGCTGCAGATACAGTGATTGCCTCTTCCAATCAGCCCAGAGACAACAGCAAAATCATCTCCCTTTCGCTTCCCCCTCCCTTTCTCAGGCTTATCTTCCTCCCCAGCCACATCACACGCCAAACACCCATCTCTTTGACGAGGTTGCGGAGGGCTAGTGGCCAGGGCGGGAAGGGAGAGGGGAGAGTAGAGCAGGGAAAACGTATTCATAATAAAGAGTTTTGAGAGAAGCTGAAATGATCTCAGCGAAAAACAAGAGCGGAGGAGGAGTGGCTGGACAGAAAGGGCAGTGTCCCCCCTCGGCCCCGGGAGCCGGCCCTGCAGGGCCGCGGCCTCCCGCAGCCCGGGCGAGGGGAGGGCGGCGGGGCCGGGCCGGGCCGGGCCGGGCCGGGCCGGGCCGAAGCGCAGCGCCGGGACGGCGGGGAGGCCCGAGGAGAAGGGCAGGTCTGTGCCAGGGGAGCGGGATGGGATCCCTCTGCGCCGCCCAAGAGCTGCCGTCGCCTCTCCCCCCCCTCCCCAAACCCGGGGATGGGGGGGGCAGAGCCGGGGGCCCCGGGGCACAGCCAGCCCCTTCCCCCGGCTCCCCACGCCGCAGCCAGCACCTCCCCGCCCGCACCTGATGCTCGCGCCGTTTGCAATGAGAAAAGTGTGTCCGGAAGCGCGCGGGGGGGTGCGGATCAGGAGGGTGTCGGGGAGGGGCCTGTAAATCGATTTAAAAATCAAATCCAGTCCGGGAAGCACCTTGGCGCGAGTGAGGAAAGGGAAAGGGGAGGCGGGCGCAGGTCAGGCGGTCCCCGCGGCCGGGCGCGGAGCGGCGGTGCGCGCCCGCGGAGCCGGGCTGCGCGCCAGGGTCGGGTCTGCCGGCTGCCTGGTGGGCAGGAATCAGTAATAACGCAGTGGGGCCACCTGTTGTCTTTAGGGCAGCTTTTTAATGAGGCGGGTAGCGCCGCTCCCTCTGGGACAGCACTGAGCCGCACAACTGCCATTCCAGAAGGTGAATAATGGGGAAGCCTCGATTTTTTTTTTTTTTTTTTAATTATTATTTTTCAGTAAATCGCCTTGGTTTAACAAATAACCGCAGGGCTTTTTTTCAGCCGGTGGATTGTCTGCTCTGTTCTCTGAATAATATATCTGCCATTGATGCTTATGAATGCAGTCAGTCAGCAATAGCGGCATGCACGTTAGGCTAAGTCTGAGGTGATCGTGGCTAGCAGAATTCATCCAGTCCATCAGCCAGCCAGCCACTACCCGAGCCAGCCTGACTTTGAGCATTTAAAAATCCTGCTGGGTGAGAAGGGCACAGGATCCAGCTACAGGGCTCTGCAGTAAGCTCCTTAGAACAAGTAATATAGAAGATATAAGACTTCATGAAAGGATTCACCTATGTTTTGTGTAATCTATCTTGCCATTAGCAACATCAAGTCTGCAGCTGTTAATCTTAATAAGATGTCCTACTCTGCTTTCTAAACCTCTCAGCAATTTCTCTGACCTTCCCTATTCTCTTCCATCTCAAGTTAAAGAACTTTGTTTGTGCAGTAATTGAAAGTCACCTGCTTTATCCATAGGATAAACTTCTATAATACAGATGTGCAGTCTGCCTTAGTCAAGCAACAGTAGAGTGACTGAAGAAGGACAGTGTTGAAAACAGTCATAGGACTGTTTATAGACAGTCAGATGTTTCTTCTGCAGAATGATGCAGTCATCCACATGGCTAAGTTTCAAGTTATAGTTACTTGAAAAGAAAAAAAAAAAAAAGGTTATAGAACAAGTAGGCACAAAACAGCTGATTTTGCTGTTCTGGGAAAATGTGCTGTGTCACATCATATAACAGCAAGCTTCAACATTTTTTCTTTTGTGAGATAGGGTGTTTTCACCTTTAAAGATCTTAGATTTCTTTTGATTGTCACTCTTAATTTTAAGGATACCATTGCAATAGTATTGGCAAATAGCATGTGGAAGATACCAGCTATGTTTAAAATATGCCAAAATGTAATCAGTCATCATCATTATGGAGTGAGACATCCACAAAACAGCTGAGGAATGGCCACAGTGGCCACTGCATGTTCTTCTAATGAGACCTTATAGAGATATCTTAGGATCTACATAGCTGGATGCTAAAAGCTTGTTCAGAGGTGTTTAAAAGTGAGCATACAGGGTTTGTAAGTTAGATACTGGTCAAAATCACTTTCTACCTCAATAGATCTTGCTTCTGTAGAAAGTTTGAAATTTTGAACTTCATGTAACTACTAATGTCTTCACCACCACCTTTTTTTGCTTTATGTCTCATTTTGTTGCAAAATCTGTTCATATGAGTTTTGGTGAATACTCTTTCTAAAAAGGTGGTGGTTCATCATCCAGCATGCACCTTTCACTACCCTGGCTTTGTATGGGTAAGTATTTATATACTTAGTATTTTTTGCATCCTTAATTAACCTGTTACCATACCCTACATTTCTACTAGGCAGTAAACTAAAAAAAGGGAGGAAGGTATTCACATTTAATAAAACATGAAATGTTAAAAAAAAAAAAAATAGTGACCATAAACAATTGTCTCAAGTGACTTCGTAGTACTGTTTGGAATCCTTTGGATTTTACTTGGTAAGAGTCCTATTGATTTTTAAATGGGTTTAAGTTTTTTTGAAGTTTTAAGTTTTGCATTTTCCTTAGAGTAAGAATATTGCCTTATTTTATTACATGGATTGACATATACACTTTTAGATTAGAAATGTACTTTTATTAGTTCTTTATTGGATGTCAGCTGAAATCTTATTTTCCTTGATTCAGTACATACATTGTTATTCTTTGTAGTTTTAAACCATCCATTACATGGTAATCTCTTCATATAGTGCATTCTGTCGGCCTCTCTCTTTCACAGCTGAGTTTTTCTATTGATTTTTATGGGACTTTGTTTGAACCCAGAATATTTTATTCAGAAAGATATGGAGCACTTCCTTTCTGTGGTCTAACATCTTTAGTCTAACCTAAGACACTGATCAGCCTGAGGATGGTTAGCATGAAAGAAAGGAGATCAACCATTTGGAGACCAATTTAAGCACTATGGAACATTTTCAAATCAGGATTACAAAATGAAAAAAGACAAACAAGGATGAAAATATCTTTAAGAGTTTTGTCAGAAACAGTAGTGTACAGTCTCCTATTGAGAGCTAAATGAAGGACTGGACACTTTAACTGACAGAAGAAAAGGTTTTGCCTCTGAACTGTGTTATGCTGGTGTTTCAATCACAAGAAAAGAAAGAAAATAAAATCTGCCTTACTTTCACCCTTCTGTGGTTAATTTATGTGCTTATATGACAAATAGCAGAAGTAAATCCTGGGCAGGTGGCTGTAGGTGACCCTGCTTGAGAAGGGGTGTCGGACCAGATGAGCTCCAGAGGTCCCTTCCCATTTCAACTGTTCCATGGTTCTGTGATTTTGTAAGCAATGGGGGACAATGGCACATAAAGGAAGGCAACAGTTTCATTTCTATGGTTAGTGAGAAGAAGAAACTCCTTAATATTCAGGATCGAACATTCTTGCTTTCATTTGTAACATACGATTGAATTAGGCAATATATCTAGATTATTTTCTCCTTGAACCAGAGGAGATTATTCAGTCTCAGTTAAAATGGAAAATTATTCAGTCTCAGTTAAAAATTCCCCAGCATGGAGACATCCTAGGTAAACTGCCCCTGCACGTCTCCATTAAAATCATTCTTGTGAAAACAGAATCTATCCAGTATTTATACCTTTTCTTGGTTGTTTTGGATAGTCTTGTCCTACACCATTGACAACTGTTCTAACTACACCTTTTAAAAGCTGAGTGAAGTAATTCCTCTTTGTGTAGATAAAAGACACGGAGGATTCAAAGTAGCCATGAATTACTCTCACATTCCTACCAAAAGACTCCTTGAACTGCAAGAAACAGCAAAGTTATGGAATGGAGGAAACATTGGCTTCCTGATTTATGGAGAGCAATCTACCCATCTGAGGGTGAGAAAGAAGAAATAAGAGAGTGATATTTCACTTCTCTACACTTTCTTTAAAAACAGTGTGGATTCTGTGCTGACGTATGTAATCACAGATATACTTTTTGTCACAATCTCTTTGTGAATGGTTTTTGTTGCTAGAATGTACCCAATCCAAACTACAGGCTCAGAATAATACAGTTATACACAGTGTGACATTTGGAAACGCTAAAATGATTCACCAAGCCGCTCAGCACATCTACAATCGTGTTTTAGTTCAGATTAGGAATGTGGTTTTGAAACGAATCTCCCAATTTCCCCCACTTACTGCGTTTTGGATTGCAAATTGGAGCAGTCTTTGAGTGTGTGAGCTGTTTTACTTAGGTATGAAACTAAGCCGAGAGATGTGTTCCAGGAGCAGTCTGCTTTCCATCCTTTAAAGGGCATTCAGTCCGCAAGAACAGAGTAAAACTAATGCTAAATAAATACCCTTTAAAACAGATACAGAGAAGCTGTGGGTATCTCAGTACCAACCATTCCACCTTTCATATAAGCTCATTTTTCACTGAGTTACTTATTAATGTGGACTTATCCAATATATTTTTCAACTGAGATAGAAGCTGAAACAAGAAAAACTGAAATATACTCCATTCTTTTTGTGATGAAACACCTACTGAGAGGCATAATATATATATTCCTGTTTGATATCAGGATAATGGCACCTATTGATCTCTTAAAATAAAATCTGTTCTCTCATCCATATTATGGTCATTCACAGACTTCTCTTCTGTAAATGCCGGAGGACTCTGGGTCTGCATCCTTCCAACAAAGGCTTTCCTGAACACAACAGGGTTAGAACACCCCTTCTCAGAAACTTTTCTTGGAAATTGAAGCACATTTCCCTTCTACAAACCAGTCTGGGTGATAATGCTTAAATATGAGAAGAAAGCAGTTTAACAAGGAAAGAAG